CTACTTTGTGGTTTTAATATTCCCAACCATGCATTTAGAGCAGAGGTGACTGGCACAAACGGGCAGAATGACAAAGGCCACGAGGTAAGTCTCTGGAATAAAGCGGACAATACCAGAGGTCAGAGATGAAGACCTAGAGCAATGCTCTCAACCTTCCTGATGCTGTGCGGACCCCGCACAAGGTTGTGTGGTTGCTGCCTCATAACTGTAATTTTGCTACTGTCATGAATTATAAATGGAACTATCTGACATGGGACCGGTTTGTGGTCATGACCCACAGGTTGGGGACCACTGAGTTAGAGCAAAATATCAAGGCACAGAGGGAAAGCAAAACTAGGACATCCTTAATAATGTTTAGTCCCTTGTCATCATTTGATTCTCAGCAAGCGCATTTTAGAAAAGGCTTTGAATGCACATTTAGATGGCTATAGTTCACGTGTTCCATTCTGAGACTGGTGTTCAGAGTTAATGCGAGTGTCTGTTAGAGCTGATGCCAGTTGGCCTCAAGGGAGACTTCCCAGGAAGAAGACGTGTGTATCGTGGGGAGATGAGGACTCCTTAGTTACTGGACAGAACGAAGCCCCTGCTCAGGAGGGCTTTTGGAAATGTCACCTGACCTGAAGGGACGCTAGCCCACTCAAGCATGTGGCTCTGGCTGGCCTTGCCCTTCCCCCCCATTCCCTCGCCTTAATAAATTCCTAGATTCCATTCCTAAAGCCACCCCCCAAGGTCTTTTCCCTTTTGGCCACCTTCTTTCCTGAGACTGATTACCAAGTCTGTTAATCAAAAGCCCTCTTTGGCTCATCTAATTAACATGTCCAATTAAAATTAAACACCTCGCCGGGCGTTGGTGGCGCACGCCTTTAATCCCAGCACTCGGGAGGCAGAGTCAGGCGGATCTCTGTGAGTTCGAGGCCAGCCTGGGCTACCAAGTGAGCTCCAGGAAAGGCGCAAAGCTACACAGAGAAACCCTGTCTCGAAAAAACCAAAAAAAATAAAATAAAATAAAATAAAATAAAATAAAATAAAATTAAACACCTCATCCTAACACGGATTTTTTCCCTCTACCTTTATAAACCGCCATTTGCCCATGTGCCATGTCTGTCACCTCTATCCAGAGGCCGTCCTTTGTCCTCTGGGACAGATGTCCCTCCCCCTTTCCTGTGTCCTCTCCCCCTCTCCCTCCTCCCCTCCCTCCTTTCCCACTGCACCCCAGCCCATTCTAACCCCGACCTCCCCTTTTCTCTTCTTAAGAATGGACCTGCAAGGTCACAGTCAGAAAGCAGCCACTTTAACTTTCCTCCCTGCTTAATGAAGGATCTCTGTGAAACAGGTGTTCGGGGGTCTGGAAGGGAACACACACACACACACACACACACACACACACACACACACACACACACACACGTTGTGTGGGAGTCCCCTTCACAGCCACTGCATTCCCATTCTGTAAGAATCATTGTTTGAGAGTCTCAGGGAACTGAAATAGTTCACGATACATTTTGATTTCATGGGCCCTTGGATAGCTCAGCTACTAGAAACTGATACTTCCTTTTGTCAGCTGCTCTGGACATAGAAATTTCTGGTTTGTTTTCAATCATTGCTTAGGTTCTTATTTCCTGAGCTTCCTGAAGAGGGCAGCACAATTCCTCTGTCTGCTCCTCCGCCCACCGGAAGGAGGTCCTTCTGCACTGGGAAATCAGATTCCACATCTGAGTCCCCAGAGCCAGGGTAAGTTGAGCTGGGTGAGGTGGTGAAGACGTGGGGTGCGGGCTGCATGGACTCCTGAAGAACCCCAAAGATAGTGCTTTCCCCAGGCCCCGTTCCTCATTTCCTCAGTGACCCTCCAAGGTTCCTAGTGGGACCAGTCACTGTCCAGGAAGGAGCAGCCGCACACAGCCAGGCAGGAAGGCTGCTGAGCAAAGGTGACGCGTGCTGAGTTAGGGGACCCCGCAGGAGCAGCCTCAGGATGGAAGCAAGAGAGATTTCAGTTTGCTTTCTGGCCTGACAGTTGGCCCAAGGCAGTCAGCTCGGGGTGTATAGAGCAGCTCTCTCATGTCCTGTGAGCCTTGTAGTCTGGAGAGGACGCTCGTCTCTGAACCCGTGTTAACGCTCCCGCCTTCCCACACCTTGGTTGTAGTTACGTAGTAACGAGTTCCGGCTTAGTGCTCCCTGTGCTGCTGCCCCGGCTCTACCCGCCGCTCTTCATGCTTTATGCCCTGGACAATGACCGCGAGGAAGACGTTTACTGGGAGTGTGTGCTTCGCCTAAACAAGCAAGCAGATATCGCTCTCCTGGGCTTTCTCGGAGTGCAGAGGTTGGTACCGTCAGGAGAGAACCAAAAGTTGGAATTGAAAATCCTTCAGCACCGCCAGGAACTCATAGGCATCTCCCTGTGTGTATGTGTGTGTGTCGTTTTCCGACCTGCTCATGGTCTTCATTTCTGAGAATGTTCATAGAGAGTTATGAAGTTGCTTATTCATCTGAACATGTTCATTATCATGTGAACTAAATGACTCGTCTGACCTACTGAAGATGCATAATTTATATTCCTGTTCCTTAGAAGAAGTTAATTTCTTTAAATCCTTGGTGTTCCTCGTCTCTTTTTCTTTCCCTCCTCATTTGCAATTTAGAATTTCAGATCACAAAAGTTTTCTATCTCAGACCATTGGTTCTTGTTCTGGGGAATTACATGATCATCCTTTCTAGAGCAATGATAAAGCTCATCCCCAACCCACCCAAGAATTATGTATTCATGCTGTATGAGAAGTTGATTTTTTCTAATAGACTATTTTAGCAATAAAAATGTGATAAAAGCAAATGAAGGAAGCGTTCTGGGCTGTAGTGTGAGGTGATTGGAATATAGAGTGCCAAACCTCTTTGGGATATGGTAAATGCTATTGTCAACATAAAACCCACAGCCCTCATCTTAAAGGGAATACAAGATTTAGGTTACCCCAAACCCCATGTTTCAACATGGAAGCAGATTTATGGGATTTTTATAGTTTTATACAACAAAGAAGTCAAGGCAAGTTTAAAATGCATTGGTGGGTACAGCAGACAGCAGGTCCATTGAGATGGGGGAGCAATTCCATAGACCCACAATGCTGTGTGATGATGCAGAGTAGAGCCAGGAATGGCTACTCCAGAAGGCTAAAACTGGTCCAAGGTAAAGTAATCAGCCTCTGGACCTGCGGGATTCCACTATTGCCACAGCACTGGAATTCCAGTCAGTCCCTCAGGCTCTACAGACACAGACTTCTTCCAGGAGTTTTTCGTTCACATCTAGACACAGCTCCTTTTCGGGAATTTTATTCACACTCTTAAATCATTTCCATGATATCTACTAAACAGGAAGAATAGAAATAAAAACGTGAAACTCAGAACCAATTTGTAGAGAAGTTGTTTTTAATGGGAACAGGGAGACCAATGTAACAATTACCTTTTTAAAGGGGGGTGTATCTACCAAAATGGTCTATTAACAATTGATGGTTTCATTGTAGGAAATTTTGGCCAGCAACCCTGTCAGTCCTTGGAGAGAGCAAAAAGGTATAGTAGAGTTTAGTTCCCACCAAACACGCTCTTCTTTGCGGAGAAGTGTCCACTTTCGTGAGTAGTGCTCGGGTTGATGTCAGTTCCCACCAGCTGTCGGGCCCCACAGGACCGTGCGGAAGATGCCTGCCTGATTGACGGCCGCTCTCCCTCTGCAGGTTTTGCCAACCACAAAAGACGCTTGTTTTGCCTCTGCGGTGGAGTGCCTGCAGCAGATCAGGTAAGCCCACGCTGTTGACAAGTCGTACAGTCGAGTAGTGGCCAGTCTGCAGGAGGGCAGAAAGAATGTCCCTGCCCTTCTCTCCATGTCATTTCCTCCACGCCTGGATGTTGTGAGAATTAGCAGGAAGATGACCAGGTCTCTGGAACTTGCGGGCTGTTTCACTCTAAAATACCCTGGTTTTCCAAGGCATGGAGAGCCTGCCTGGAGGCTCACCTGTGTGTTCCTGTCTTTAGCCGAATGGAAATGAACCAGCTTCTCATTCAGAAAAGAGATTCCTTCGACCAGTGGATCGAAGGAGCATTCTGTCAGAGTTCTCCCACGGGAATCTCTGGCAGCTGGAGGCTTCTTTGCCCAGACACTGCAGGATCGCAGAGGCCTTCCCCGCCACGCTGTGGTTGCCTATGGTGTCTAATTTGAGGCATGTGAGACCCAAGAGAGACTGTTTTTCTAAAAAATGAGTAAGAGATGGGTTTATCAGGAAAATCTAGGCTATCTTTTCACACTTTGTTTCCACTACAGCACAACCTTTACTCCGTCAGACAAACTTAAAGTCATTCAGCAGACCTTTGAAGAGATCTCCCAGAGTGTCCTGGCCTCACTGCAGGAGGACTTCCTGTGGTCCATGGATGACTTGTTCCCTGTCTTCTTATATGTGGTGCTACGGGCCAGGTATCCAGTCTTTTCTGAGGTCATTGTTATTCACTCTGGCACTGTTTGTTTTCCAAGTCTGCCCTTTGCTTCTCTTGAATGGATGATAGCAGGATGCCACCATTAGACTAGAAACCCACTTCTCTTAACCCATTCCACAATGGCAGTGTTTGAACCTGTGGGTCGCAACTGCCGTGGGGTCGAACGACATCAGTATCCTGTGTGTCAGATATTTACGTTCTGACTCCTAACAGTAGCAAAATTACAGTTATGAAGTAGCAGTGAAATAATGTTATGGTTGGGGTCACACATGTGTTAAAGGGTCTTAGCACTAGGAAGGTTGAGAGCCACTGCCCTATGCTACTGTCTTTGTGTTACACGCTCTTCTTTCTCTGCCACCGTCTGTTGACAGAAAAGGAAAGTCTGCTTGAAGCAGAATGAACTTCTCATCTTTTTCTGTCTGGGACAGGATTCGGAATTTAGGTTCTGAAGTCCACCTCATTGAGGATCTGATGGACCCCTATCTCCAGCATGGGGAGCAAGGCATAATGTTCACCACCTTGAAGGTGAGTGTAGCACTTAACAGTGTTGAACCTTAATCTGCCCGTCATCTACCATATTATATATAAATCAGTCAGTAGCCACGTTTCCTCACTTTCTCCTTTTTTGGGGGGATGTTGTTCTGAGAATGGGGTCTTACTCTATAGCTCAGGTTAGCCTGGAACACTTAGTCACCTTTCCACCAGCGCTTCCCAAGGGCTACAATTGCAAGGGAGAGCCACCCTGCCTGATCCACTCTCTTCTTTATGAAAACATTCAGTGTAGACTTCACTTTTTTCTTTAATTAAAAATAGATTTTTCATACAATATATTCTGATTATGGTCTCCCCCCTCCCCATTCCTCCTAGTTCCCACCTATCCTCCCATCCAGATCCACACCCTTTCTGTTCTTGTTAGAAATCAAACAGGCATCTAAGGAATAGTAGTAAAATACAGTACGATAAATACAAAACAAGCAGATTGGAATAGGGCAAAACAAAAACAAGAAAAAGCACAAGAAACACAGAGACACAGAGACACACTGTTCACACACAGGAATCTCATAAAAACACAAAACTGGAAGCTATAACGTAGATGCAAATGACCTGTAGGTTAAGAGAAACAAAAGCCCTGACTTGACATTATGAGACGAAGAAGCTCCACTGATAGTGTTGAGTTCGTTTTGTGTTGGCCATCTACTGCTGGTCATGGTGCCTGCCCTGAAGCTTCCTAGTGAGACTCCCTTGGAGAAACCAGTTTTTCATTGGCTCTCAATTGAAGATAGCCTCTGGGTTAGGGATGGGGGTCTGTGTCCATTCGCCTTTCAGTTCTGGGACCCCATATGGGGCAGATGTGTGCAGGCCCTGTGCATGCCACGGTGCATGCATCAATCCTGTTGCGTCTGGAAGGCCTTGATTCCCTGGTGTCTTCATCCCTCCTGGCTCTCACACTCTTCTGCCTCCTCTTCTGCAGGGTTCCTCCAGCCCTGAGAGGAGGGATTTGATGGAGACATCCCTTTAAGGGCTGAGTGTTCCAAGGTCTCTCACTCTCTGCATATTGTCTGGCTGTGGGTCTCTGTATTAGTTCCTGTCTGCTGAGGGAGGAGGCTTCTCTGATGGCTGAGCTGGATCTATGAGTATAGCAGAATGTTATCAGGAGTCGTTCATTTTTATGTTCCTTGAGCAGAACAGCAGTATTTGGTTTTCCCCTAGGTCCCTGGCTTGTCTAGTACCTAGTGGTTCTTGGCCACTCAAGCAGCACTGGGTATGGGTTCCATTTCATGGAGTGGGCGGTCTTAGTTAGGGTTTCTGTTGCTGTAAAGATACACCATGCCGCAACTCTTAAAAGGAAAACATTTAGTTGAGGTGGCAGCTTATAGTTTCAGAGGTTTGGAACATTATCATGGCAGGTGACATGGCAGTGTGCAGGAAGACATGCTTCTGGGGAAGAGCTGCTACACCTTGATATGCAGGCATCAGGAAGTAGACTGCCTCACTGGGCGTGGCTTGAGCATATATGAACCCTCAAAGCCCACCCCCACAGGGACACCCTTCCTCGACAAGACCACACCCACTCCGACACAGGCACACCTCCTAATAGTGCCACTCCCTTTGGAGGCCATTTTCTTTCCAACCACCCCATGGGCCTTGACTGAAATCAGATATTGTTAGATATTCCCACAAGCTTCGTGCTAGTACTTGGGGATCACTGGAGATGCTGCTCTGAAATGTGTTCTTGCAGGCAGGGTCGCTCTTACAGATGGATGCGTGTGTAGGGGTTGGTGTTTCTCTTTTGGTCGTGTTCAGAGGGCCTTCCAGTCCCCTGAACACTAGTCAGCAGGGACGAAGGCTCTGGGTGGGCACCAGCTCGACTCCTCCATGGTCCGTGAGTTGTGTAGGTGTTGACTTCAGCAATGGGTAGGGCCTTGCCATCGGTTTGGGGAGAGCCACCAAAAGCCTTGGCAACAACCAGAGCTGTTTGGGGGTTCCCATGGGGCCCCTTTGGCCAAGAGCTCAGTTAGATGTAACCCAGTCCTGGCACTGGAAGCTTCATTTGGTGACAGATGGCCAGTAGGAGCTCTGTTTCCTCTGTTACTTGGTGATGTCAGTTAAATTGCCTTCATCTATGGATTTTCATTTATTAAGCTTCTACTGGATTAGACCCTTCAAAAGCCCTTAGTTTTGGCTGTCTTTCCCCACATCTCTCCCTCCCTTCCTCCCTCCCCTGACCCATCCGTAACTATCTCTTCCATTACTGCTTCCTAGGGAGATCCATCTCCCCTCTAGTCCCTTACTCTGTACCTGATCTCTGTAGTTGTATGGATTGTGGCTTGCTTATCCATGACTTAACAGCTAATATCCACATATAAGAAAATACATACCATATTTGTCTTTCTGGGTCTGAATTGCCTCTCAGAGTAGACTAAATATCTTCAGACTCTATGTTGTTGGTACTAAAAGCATGATAATACATTAAATTAGGACAAATTAGACCTATACTGCCAAGTAATAAAATTTTAAAAATTATAATCTTTAATATGAAGTAGTATGTTATGGTCACATGAATAGAAAGTCCCTAGTGGAAAGGATAATGTTCATATTAACATTATAGTAATACAATTTCACATTAGAAATGGAAGGCGCAAACTAAAATTGGTAAAGATATTTAATAAATGTCAAAAAAGCATTATTGTCATTTGCAGCTGTCTTGGAGGTAGGCTGAGGCAGCAAGGCATGTGTGCTGTGGGGTTTGTAGAAAAAGGATGAGCAAAGGAAAGACAAGGCCGTGAAAATGAGCAAAACCTTAGAGCTGAACATCAGGTTTGTGGCTTGAACTAACTTTTAAACTTTTTCATGAATATTTCTGTTATATAAACTGGGAGAGAGAAAGTAGAGTGCATACTGTCTACAAATTACTTTATTAGTATTTCCTTGAAGAGTATGAAACATTCCAAAGGAAAATAAGTAAATGTGGGTGAGGACAAATGCTCAAAATCCTAGAAGTCCAAACCGAAGTTTGCTGTGCCTAAAATACCAGCAGATCTGTGTTCTGCTTCACCCAGTGCTGGTAGAGGTGCAGTGAGGTCACTTTCCACAGTGCTGGCAGTGGGGGAGTGCAGTGAGGTCACTTTCCACAGTGCTGGCAGTGGGGGAGTGCAGTGAGGTCACTTTCCACATGCTG